TGAAAGCTGAGACCACATGAGGACAGAGGGACAGGCAGCTCTGATATACCAGGATAGGACCCCAAGTGGGCACCTAATCCCAAATGGAAAGCAACCCCGTTTCAGAAACATGACTCAGCTTTGAGAAGGAATTATCCTCTTTCAGAGATGCCATTCAACTCCTGGATAGAAAAATAGCTGCACAGTCCCACCTATTCTTTCCATTCTACTTCAGCCAGACTTCTTCCCTCAAAACTCACCTCTCCTGCACAGAAGTCAGTACAGAATAACCTGTCTTCAAAAGGCCGAGTTTCTTCATCATGGTAACTTTCTTCAGCAGCAAAGTATGTAGTGTTTAACCAAACCAAGTGATCCTTCATGTATTTTAAGAAATCTATCTGTCTGAGCTCTTCTCAAGCAAATGGAAATCTACTGAGAGCATTTACTCCCAACTTCTTTTTCTTTGGGTCTAGTAATACCTACACAGCATGAATCATTTCCCCATCTCTCCCCTCTCCCCCTCCCACAAAATATCACCTACATCTCACCAATGAAATAGCCCAGAAAAATAGAAACAAAAAGGCCAAAGTATAACCCATTGCCCAGGGGGATACCAGTCCACAAATGACATGGGATAACTCATCACCCTGTGCTGCCAGCTGCGTGGTGTGACTAACACCACAATGAGAGCAGCAGGAAGCCCTGTCTCATTTTGCTCACCTGGGATGGTCCAAAGGGGTTGGACATGGGATGAGACTCCACTTTTGGAGAACTTTCAATGCAAAGGGACCAGGCACCATGCCAAGCAAAAGGAGAAGTCACTTCTGCTCTGTAGTCCTTGCAAAGACCAAGCAACAAGGCAGACCAGGAACTGAACAACTTCCCAACAAGCTCCTTCATCCCCTGCATCAGGTGATTCTGCCATGAGAAGGAGAGGAGAGGGATGAATTTAAAAAACAAGAGTATGTTTTTTTTTTCTCTAGAAACAAGAGTTTCTGCGTTGCTGCTCTCACTCTTAGCCAGGGAAGAGCAGACAGAAAGAGCTTCTCTACAATAGATTAGCATTTCATTTTTTGATGTAAGAGTGCACTCTGTTGGTTTGGATATGCCTTGCCTGCTGTTTACATCCTATTAAAACCTTGCCAGGCAGCACTCAGTACTTTTCCAGTAGCAACAAGAGAGTGGTGCCACTGGCAAGGAGTTAAAAATTGGTTTATGATAAAAATAATAGTTTGTTTTGCACCATGAGAAGGGCAGTATCCTGATAAGCAAACAGCTGTTCTGTCCAGCTCAAGCAAGGACTAGAAATAACTTTCAACATGTGATGCTAATTTTTCTTCTCCAGTTGCAAGGCTTCCATCCTCACGGAGCTTCTTTCTTTAGCACACATTAATTTACATAAACTATATTAGTTCCAGCAAAGAGGAGCACACATTTATGAAGTAATAGTTCAGACGAGTGCATGTCCTGCAGACACATCTCTATGCTCCAGGAAAAAAACGTGGTCCATTACACATATACACAGGGGCCATGAAATTCCCAGCGCAGTAAAACAGCACTTTCTATTCAAGATCACTGGTATCCAGATCCACTGTTTTCCATAACCAGAAGCTGACTCGTGCACCCTCAGGAGTGGCTTTGTAGCCAAAGCCAAGCTCTTTGAGGCTGTGGCTTTGTACGGGGATTTACAACACCTGGCTTAAAACAAACTGCCTCAGGAGCAGCAGGTTCCATCAGCTGATTCCAGAGGCTTTGACACAGTGCTTTCATCATAGAATTACAAAATCGTATTATCATTAAGTTTGGAAAAGACTTCTAAGATCATCTAGCCCAACTATCCACCTGGTCACCAATATGGCCCACTAAACCCCATTCCTCAGTACCTCATCACCATGTTTCTTGAACATTTCCAGGGGCAGTGACTCCACCACCTCCCCGGGCAGCCTATTCCAGTGCTCAATCACTCATTTGGAGAAATTTTTCCTAATATCCAACCTATGGCACAACCTGAGGCCATTCCCTCTCAATCTATGACTAGTAAGCTGAGTCAGAAGAGAGTGTCCAAATCATCCTGTCCAGAAGAAGTAGCTCCATTTCATTTCATCTTGCTTCACTCATACCACACAGCATCCTCAGCCCCATACAGCCAGCCTGAAGATGAATATACAGAGCACTCCAATTTTAGATGACGCCATCTGCTTGATAATGGATTTGATATGTATCCACTTTGAAGAATAGCCACGAAAACACTGCGTCTCCTCCCCTCTTCTGAAACATTACCATGTGTGTGTCACTGTGGATAAACCTTCATGTTCATCACCTACATCTATTCAGTCTCCTCAGGCCATATTCTGCACAGCTGTAAAATCAGCTCTCAAGGAAGAAAGTGAGAAGTATTGGACAAACAAAGAACATTTGCCCACATTACCAGATTGTTAGCCAGAGAAAATGATGTTTTAAGAACTTTCATATGGAAATTAAGTTAATACTGTTAATACTGCTCACTAACCAATAAGGCAAACTTATAAACTTTAAAAAAAAGAAAGAAAGGAAAGCAAACAGCAGTTAGTGGTGGTTTGGGAGTTGCAATTCCCCAAGATCCAAGCTGGCAAGTAGTGGCATGAAGCTGAGCAAAGTTTAGACATTCACAGGGTAGTTCAGCCTCATCAGAGCACAAGCTCTAGCACACTGGCAACCAGCACTGCTGTGGTTGTATCCATCTTACATGAGCTGGCAGACCCAGAGAAGTCTGATTGTGCTTATAGTATTTTCTAGCAGTAGACACAGAAGTGACAAAATAAGTCAAAATAATTAATCAACCTCATTTTTGTCTCAGTCAACCTCGAGCTAATGCTTAAACTAAGACACACTCTCATATGTGACAATGCTTGTGGAGATACTTTGTGTACCAACAAGCTGCATGACAACTGACGAGTGTCATTCATCAAATCAATATTTGACAAAGGCTTGGTCCTATTATTCAGCTGGTTTTATAAGCAGTGAGACGATATTCCGCAAGTAACATTTTAACCAAGTCTATTTTCTTGTATCTCTTAATCTGGTAAGAAGAGCTCTGACAACTATGTAAAATTGCCTTAGTTTAGAAATGTTCTAAAAAAAAAAAAAGAAAGAAAGAAAAATAAATCCATTGTTTTTCACTGGCTCTGCCTGTCTCTGAAGTCAGGACAATAGCAGAAATAGTGGCACCTAAATGGGGTATGGAAACCTCAACTAGCTGAGTCCTGTTCTATCACTGCCATAAGGGTATGAAGATGGAGGGCAAGGTGAGTGATGAGCAGCTGAGGTCCATGGGTTGCTCAGTGCAGAGCAGAGGAGCTGAGGGGAGCCCTGATGGCGGCTGCAGCATCTCACAGGGAGCAGGGACAGCGACAGGGCCCAAGGGGTGGGTGGGGGTCAGGGACAGGGTCTGCACCAGGGGGCGGTGGGCATGGAACGGGCTGCCCAGGGCAGTGGGCACGGCTGAGTTCAAGGAGGATTTGGACAATGCTCTCAGATATTGGTTTGAACTTTGAGTGGTGCTGCGCAGAGCTGGGAGTTGGACACAGTGACTTGTGGGTCCCTTCCAACTCGGGCTATCCTGTGATTCTATGATCACTCACACTAGAATATAAAGGTAATTGTGCATATGCATTTCAGAGTATTTACAGCTACTTGATCTAACTTTAAAAATTACTGCAGTGAAACTCCATCATTCATTTTTTCTATGTTTTTATACATTGGTTATAAAAGCAATACAGCCACTGGCTTAGATGAGTTCAATGAGCTGGAAGATAAGCCACAGGGTACTGTCACAGTTCTGCTCTTGCCTATTCCCCAGTGGGGTCGCACCCTCAGCACCTCTCATTTGGAAAAGACTTCATCAGGACAATCTGCTCGAGCTGTAGGTGTCCCTGTTCATTGCAGAAGAGTTGGACTTGATGACCTCTAAAGGTCCTCTCCAACTCCAATGATCCTGTGCAGTTTAAAAAAAAAAAAAATTGTTCTGCTATATTGTTCACCTGCTGCAAAACTGGCTGCATGTTCTGCTATATCAGCTCTCTCTTGAATTCTCTTGAATTTTTTCAGGTACTCAACTTGGCCCTTCTTAAAAGCCAGTGTATGCGACGGCTTCCTGTATTTTGTAATTGAGAACACAGAATAAAGGAGATTGAAAAAGGCCTCAGGAGGGCTGCAGTCCACCCTCCTGCTCAGAACAGGGTCAGCCACGAGCTCAGGTAAAGTATGTCAGGGCTTCAACCTGCCTGTTCTTGGAAACCTCCACAAGTGGAAGCTGTATTACGCCTCTGGGATATTTGTTATATATATCTCCCAAGAAATATACACAAATCAAAAAGAGCTTCCAGTGCAACATCACTTGCCTCTGATATCACCCGGGTATAAGTCAGGTTGCACAGTAAAGGAAATTGCTTTAAGCTGAAAACTGTCTTCAGTCAAGGAAAAGAGGTAAGACAATACCTATGACTGTGTTTCAAAATATCTAAACACTGCAGGCTATGGCTGAAGGTGGAGCCAGCATACATAACTTCTTATAGAATGGCTTGAGTTGGAAGGGACCTCAAGGATCATCAAGCTCCAACCCTCATATCTGATACTAGACCAGGCTGCCCAGGGCCCCATCCAACCTGGCCTTGAACACCTCCATGGATGGGGCATCCACAGCCTCTCTGGGCAGCCTGTTCCAGCACCTCACCACTCTCACAGTAAAGAACTTCCCCCTGACATCCAACCTAAATCTTCCCTCCCTCAACTTAAAACATTTTTCTCTTGTCCTGCCCTTATCTACCCACATTAAGAGTTATGCTTTCTCTTCTTGAGGCTAAGTACAGGGTACAGGAGAGACTACACGAAAAAGGGTTTTCCCTTGATAAAACTGCATTTCTGCAAGAATGCATGTATATGAGAAAGATATTTTAATAACATTGGGTGGTCTTGAGCACTACAATGACAGAGTGACATTTTACTGCTGTGAACAAACTACTGCACATGAAGGATTCTGCACATGGTTTTACCTACGGCAGTTTATTTGTAAACAATTGTTACATGTGCCAATAATTTAATTGAACACAGACTGTACATTTCAATGTATAATGTTAAGAATGTCACACCAGAAGAATTCAACTGTATTCAGTTACAGCCATACTTTAAAAACCTTCGAAATACAAACCATCAAGAATACTGTACAAGCAAAAGGAAGATCTGAGAACAATGGTGGAAAAGGAAAAAAGAAAAACAAGAAATAATATATCATGATCAGAAATCTGAGAACAAGTAACACACACTTTCTAGTTGGCTCTTGAAGCCCTCCAAGTACACTCATCTAGAATAACCACTACTTGGGTTGTGCCAGAGCACAAAGCCAACTTCTCAAGTTAAAAATTGATGTTGTGAAGACAAACTTCAAACAACTTGCAATGTTATAATGCGTGAGATTTTTCATCGACTTTCAATAAAACTGCCTGAAAAAAAGAAACTGATTTCATTAGACTTTATTTGCGATACAATATAAAATAGATTCTTTTGGTATGAAGATCTTGGAGACCTTATTTTTTACACCACATTTAAAACGAAAATCACATACTTTGAGTCTCTGGACCATCCCAAGCACTGGAGCCGTAGTAGAGTTTCAGGTATTTTGTGGACTTCTTTGGTTGCAATCTATTCAGTAAACTTCAAATATGAAGACTTGAACATTCAAGCTCTAAACTAGTGTTGAAGCTCCTAAATTATAGTAGTTTGATTTCTAAAAATTGCCAACGTATCTGGAATTTTCACCATTAACAGCAAGATTTGTGGGTATTAAACAACTCTGAAGAGCAGACTATTTTTATTTAGAACCTAGTAACATCCTTCACTCAGTAACACTGAAGAGTAGGCAGTGAGGAGAACAGAAAATTTAATCCATTCTTAGACTTTCACACAGCAGATTAACTTGTACTGTCATCAATTCTGTGCTTGTATAGACATTGTGCATGGCAAAATTTAATACAGTATGCCAAACTAGCTCATCTATTACAGTTCACTGTAGCACTGAAAGTATTGTCTATGGTACTGAAAGTGTAAATCATCATCTACTGCTTAGTTCCCCTACAGCTCGATTTTGAATTAATCTTCACATAACAACTCACAGTAAACCTATATTCTCTGCAATTTCTAGCAGACTGACATTCAGTTCCTCTTCAATTCCTTTGAGGGAAAAACAACTTAAAAAAAGACTATGAAAAAATAAGCACTTCCAGTACAAAAGTAACTGTAGTGTAAATAATTTTCTGTAACCTAGCTCTGTAATTCACGCAGAATACTAAATTCAGTTGATGTTGGTAAAATACATAACACAACAGATGTAAAAATACACATAAAAAGAAAAGAGCAGCAATGAGCAAACTGTAGTACTACAGACTTCCAGTTCTTAAAGCACACGTCCCACACTTACACATCAGGAATGTATATAATGCCAAGGAGAAAATAAAGGGACTTTCACAGTGTCAGCTGCAGTCGCTGCATTATTCTCTTGTGGTACATTTTCCCTTTTCAAACTTGTTATATGTTTTCTTACAGCTACAAAGAACAGGATACAAACCCAAACGTTGTCATTTTTCTCCTTGTTATTTTCCAGCATCATCAACGCCGCAGATTCTTGGTCCGTTACGTAACGCAGGCTAGTAAAGACAGGATGGTCGTCCTATTTTGACATTATTTATAGCAAGGCAGTTCCAGCAAAGAAGAGAGCTGGCAGAGTTCTTAGTCACCTGGATGCTTTAGTATTCCACATCTCATTTCCTTGTGTGCTAAAAGGAACAGACTTTTATTTAAGCTGGAAAGAAGTTGTTAATGCCCAATATAAACAAAATGAAATCAATATCATCCCCTACAAATAGAGCCAGAATATTATTTTAGATGAAACAGTGCGCTGATAACGTTTGTCAGAACGAACAGCTAATGGTTGAAAAGAAAACAGATTCAGAGAAGTCTCTGCCTACACAACTTCTGCTATCTTCCTTTGCTAAGGACAGTCATGAAAAAAATTAAGAGATCTTCTCTTTCAAATATTAACCAACAGAACATATCTAGTTATCTACCTTGAAATCAACTTACAACGTCAAGAGATTTCTCACAGCAATCATCAGCAATGTCAAATAACAAGGTGGAACCAACTCCCAGCGTGTCCCAAATCTCCATCTCCCCTTTTCATACAGAGTAAATCCATTATAATAAAGAACTCTACAGAGAGGGCCAACCACTTCAGCCTTCCCACAATTCCACATCTTCACTGAATTTTACCAGAGATGAAAGCACACCATCCATCTTCAAAATGGCCTTAGTCATCAACAGGGCTTAAAGCCGGCTCTAACATAGACCCTGAAAGCATCAAATTTCCTACTGTGCTGATTTGTCAAGGCCACAGTATTAGGGTGAACTTCATAATTCAACAATTCTTAATGCTCCGTATCACCATGATACATTTTTTAAACAGTTGGTATCACTGAGCTTTTAGAGGAAGAGCCAAATCTCCTACCTTTATACAGAAAGGCTTTCAGTATTACAGTACAAAACTAAACAGAATTTATGTCTGAGTAACGAACATAGAAAACTACTATTGCAATTCTGTGGTGACGGCATAGAAATTTAACAATCATCAGAAAGCCTACAAACAGCATGGTTAGTTATAAAAGAAAGATTGTCTCAAGATAAAAATAGTGCTGACAGCTAAAAAGCTCTCTGTTGCAGCAAGATACGCAGTAATGAGTAACAAGTTCTAGACAGTTTAAGCAATTCCCCAATACTGCAACACAGCACGTTTTTGTAACACTACTTTTACATGGGTTATGCTGCAGCAACAGTACACTTCTTAGTGGTTGGCACTATAAAACAACCATAATAGAAGAAAGGCATAGAGTGATCAATGTGTGAGAATCTCTATTTGACCTGTTCCTTAGAAGTGGTTGAAATAAAAACCGAGGAAGGGGACCGTCCATTCCATTCAGATAATACACCTTCTTTGAACATGAGATTCTTGGCAGGAAGTGGAACACCCATATCTGCAGAAGTTGGCTGCAAAATTGAACTTGAACAACCAGCATCATGGAGCTGATCCAGCGTTGAAGTACTTTCCTAAAAACAAAAATTAGAAAACTGTCTTAAAAGCAAGAGAAATAATGAAGGATTTAATAGGTAGAATATAACAAGCTATTCCAATCAGCAAATTTAGTATTCCTGAAGTGTGCTTAATCCAAATCATTATGCAAGTAAAAGTAGAACAAAGGAAGGCATGAAATAGGCAAACAGTTGCCTCGGTACATCTGTGTGCACATATTTATGTTCCAAGAAGCCTTCATGGGGGGCTGAGACTTAAAAATTAAGGGAAGATCTAGTGAAGTGAGTATGCAGCTATGAAATCTTCAAGACAGCTCTCACATCAGTCTGAGTGTGCTAAGCACTGTCACAATCTCATACGGTGCTAGGAGGTGTATATAGATATATTCAGAAGCACTGACTTGATCATAGTATGAGTAGACATATTTCCCATAAGTTTGGTTGCTCAGCTTAAAAAAGTAACTTCAGTATTTTTCCCCTCCCTGTACAGATAATCATTGGTATAAAAAGTACATCCCAGAGACAGAATCTAAAAGGTTAGGAAGAAGGCACTTGAGACTTGGATGGTTTCAATGGCTTCAAACTTCTGGAAACCTCCAACATTCTCAAGAAGAAATGGTTTCAGGATCACACCATCTGTAACACTACCTAGGAAAAGTAACCTGCAAGTTTCTTGCTGTACTGAAAGGATAGAATTTTAGACAAATGTATCAAAGCATAAGCAACTAAGTAGATTCCATGACATATGTGGACACATCTTGCTAGCATGTATTTCCATGCAGAACCATAGGAGGCTGTGGAGCAAGCATTTCTCCTCTCTTGCTACACAAGGTCCCCCTTTCTGCCCTTGCCCTTCCCCCAGCATCTGTACTTTTACATATTTATACTCATTCATCATCAGGGAAGGGAAGAATTTGAATTTTACAGCACTTAATACAGTGGCCACTTACAGGAGGGTAAGAAAAGAACAAAACAAAAAAAAACCAAACAAACAAAAAACAAACACCACACACACGTTCCTATTCAGCAAGGAATAACAAAGGAGAGCAAAGAACATCACATAGCAGAATTATTTACTTGTTGGTTACTCCTTCTTACCTGGAATGAATGAACAAAATTAAGGACCTGCAAGGACAGCTTTCTACTGGAATGTAACAGTTTTTGAAGGCTGTAAAAAGTGAAAGAGAAGAATTTATGTACAAATACAGAAAATCAAAATACATGCCAGAAATTTCCAACCTTCCAAGGTGCCCCAATTTAATCTAGTAAAGAATTATCATGGTAAACTGCTCAAAAATTTCTTTTGTAGTACCAGGCATTACATGACAAAATAAAAAGCTTTCAGACAGGAAGCCTGACAATAACATTAGCACCGATGAGGTACTCAAATCATCTCATGTGCTTGTGAATCCAACCAGCTAAATGCTGTTTTCCTGATTTATTGTGTTAAAATGGAAATACTACAGTTGAAAAAAAATATTATTTCACATAAAATACATTAATAAATTAGACTGTAACATGTTTTCTTCTTATAAAGAACATTATTGTGGATTTCAGAAGCAGGTAAGTGATACACTGTTAAAAGCTGCTACAATAAAATCCGTAAGCTATGTTTTCAAGCAGCCTTTTATTTAGCTTCCAGAACCACATCCTGGAGAAAAACAAACAAACAAAGAAAACCAAAATACATTGCTGGGTGAATAATCTTTCATAAAGAAAAGCTACTGTCAAAAGCAAAAGTAATCTTGATCATAAGGCAGCACTAAGCTTAGGAAATAAAATGCCAAAATCAAAGAAAATTTCTATCAAAACCAAATGCATTTTATATCTAATCACTATTAAGAGAGTTTTTTTGGTGTTTTTTTTTTTTTGGGGGGGGGGGTCAGGTGGTGAAGAAAAGAAGTCTGTGGTAGGCCAGGAAGGCATTCTAAACTTTCCTGATGTTCACATAGCTTCCAAAAAGAATTTATTTTCTACCTTGCAAGAACAAAGTTTTTTTTTTTTTTTTTTTTTTTTTTTTTTAAATTGGCAAAAAAATAAAAAAGAAAAAAAAAAAAATTTTTTTGTCGTTATTAAAAAAAAAAAAAAAAAAAAAAAAAAAAAGAGACAGCCAATATTGATCCCAGACCCAATTCTGTCAGGTCAAATCCATTCTCTCAGATCTAAAGGACAATTCATGCTTTTCTGAGGCAGCTCATTTACTCAACCGCTCAAAGATCTAAGAGAATCTGAATTCTTATTAGATAGGGAATGTTTAGTACAAAATATTTGTCATAGTTTTACCTTCAAGGCTTTGCTTGATTGCAGAATCCATTGATGTTTCTTCTATTACCATCTCAAATGACTCTGTACTCCCGTTTACATCAGATCCTGATGCTAGATCAACATCCCCTGGAGGTAAAATAATCCTTACATAAACATTTAGATGAGTATATGTTTAATTACCAACTGATGTAAGGAACTTCACACAAGTTTTGCCCAAAAGCTATACAGGAAAGCTGCTCTGAAAATAATGCCTCCTATTTTATTATGTTGGCCCACATCATCAGAGGCAGATGTTGGTGATACAGCAGAGTTGAATCTTCACACCCACATTCTGTTAATTTTGTAGCATTACAGCAGATGGCAGCAGAGGAACAGTCTGACAAAGCAACGTCTGACATGAAAGTACATATGAAGCAATGGTGTGGGATTGAACCCCTATATGAGTTAAAAATGGCACCCATTGATGTTTATAGATTCCTTCTGAATGTTTACGGAGGCCAAACAGTGGATGTGAGCACAGTGAGGTGGTGAGTGGTGCATTACAGCAGTGACAACAATGCATTACATCCTCTGCTGCAGATTTTTACATGGGCAGCATGCAGGCTCTTGCTGATCACTGTCAAAAATACATAGCTAATGGTGGTGACTATGTTGAAAAAAACAAAAAACAAAACAAAACAAACAAACAAAAAAGCCACCAGTGTTTTATAGCTAAAAATGTTCTCTATCACATAGTGCTATCATGGTCTTTGTTTCCATGGAAATAAATAGGAGGTACTACTTTTGGAGCAACCTACATAACTATTAAACTGGAAGAAATATTACAGAGAAATATAGTCTTACTGGTCTTAGGACTTTAGAGCTACTTAGGGATCTTCAGCACACTTACAAAAGATTAAGTTCTGGCATATGAAAACAGCACAACTTACATTTTAATGTTTTGAAATGATTTCTTCCCCCTTCTGCCAGTTATTTTAGTCCAATGATTTTCAGCTTGTATTTGCTAATTTAGGCTCAACGGGCAATTAGGAAGTAAGCCTATTGACAGCAGATTTAAATGGGGTTTCTCTCTATATTGGATGATATCCAACACAGACTGGGAGAGCTGGGGCTCTTCAGCCTGGAGAAGAGAAGGCTCCAAGGGGACCCTGTAGCAGCCTTCCAGTATCTGGAAGGGATCTTACAAGAAAGCTGAGGAGGAACTTTTTAGAAGGGCAGTTAGCAGCAAAACGAGGGGAAATGTTTTTAAGCTGGCAGAGGGTAGATTTAGACTAGATATTAGGAAGAAAGTCTTCACTGTGGGGATGCTGAGACACTGCCACAGGTTGCCCAGTGAGGCTGTGGATGCCCCCTCCCTGGAAGCATTCAAGGCCAGGCTGGATGGGGCTGTGAGCAACCTGGTCTAGAGGGAAGTGTCCCTGCCTATAGCAGGGGGTTGGAACTAGGTGATCATACTGGTCCCTTTCAACCCAAACCATTCTGTGATACCATATCATGCAGAAATCCAAATCCTTTGAGTTTAATCCTTCGCTCAACTTTGCTGAAGTAACTGTAAATTAACAGAACACACACACACACAAAAATACTGATAACTAACCTCTTCCATCAGAAGCATCACTCAGCTTCCTGTTAGCTTGTCGACTTGTAGGATTCAGCATAGTGACATAGCCACAAAAATGCTGCAAGTCTACCTTGTTCCTCAATATCTTTAAAGCTGAATGAATGCCCATGTTCACACGAGAGAAGTCTAGAAGAAAGGAAATACACAACCCAGTTTACTTTAGAGAAAACCTCCTCCAAAGCCATATAGTTCATGTCTAGCCAAACTGGCTTTTAACTAGATTTTTTTTTGTCTCCTTTAATGCTACAGATTAGCGATAATATGGGAGGACGTGGGGTAACACTGAAGAAGACAGCTGTCAATGGCTAGGTTCAGCTAAGAAAAAACAACATCCAACTCTCTCAGTGTCACAGTCTTGTAAGAAAAATCCAATACAAGAACTTCCACAGATCTGATATTCTGAAGAATTATAGTACAGTACTAGAGGGCAACAAGGAGTTTCAACACTGACTTCTTAATCCTAGATTTTTTTGAGTTTACAAGCAGACATACCAGAGGGGACATACATAAAAGGCAATCCATTTTGAGCATAATAAAAATTAGACTATGAAATTAGCTTTATTTCTAGTAGCCTAAATAATACTGGGTTTCATATCTGCAAATCTGCAGTTTTCCTCAAACTCTAAGCTAGAAAGCTTATGGCCAATCCAAAGCCTCCTGTCACCAAGGAGTACATCAGAAAGTTAATTTCTGCTTTTTAAACTCAGTTGTACTAGGAAGAAGTATTTCTGCAACCTTGCTGCACAAGGTAGCAGTCAATATGGTGGCACAAAGTTTACATTAAATAAAGTTACCTCCCTGCTGCTCAGCTTCATCAAATGGAAAAGGTATATGCACAGTTTCTCCCATTCCATGCATACCATGCCCCTGAACATCAAGAAAATCACATTAGGCACCAAAAAAAATGTACTCATCAGCTTAGCTTAGTCCTAATCATGCTCTCTTTTAAAGGCCACCAGTCACATTGGTGAAACAAACATAGAAACATTTCTATATTAACACTCTCAAAATAAACAGATTGAATAAGATACCCATCCTCTCCCCCTAAAATACACGTGAATGAAGATAATTAGTTAAGCTTCATTGAAGAGGAGCAGTTTCTTGAATAATTCATACTGTCAGTTACCTTATACATCACTAACATCCAAAAGACTTGTGGATTATTCATTTTCATTTCAGTTTACTATACCCTCAAAGCTTCTATAAATCCTCATCTCATTTTCATTGAGCAAAATTCTTAATATTTGCTCATAATGCAATAATGCATATTACATATGCATCGACAGTCTTTATCCCCTCTAAACCACACCAGCAATGGCTAAAGTTAAACATTTTTCAGCTCCCAACAAAAGCATAGGTCTCCTACATTCTTAATCTACTCTTTGATGCAACAGTTTTACCCAAAATTATATGTTTTCATCACTTACAGAAGGTATTCCATACCTGAATTAGAACAGCTGAATGCGTTAAAGCATCATTCAACATTGTGAGCACATTTGAAGTAGGAACTACTCCTGGGTCGTGACCCCAAGATGTTATAAGTAAGCGATCATAACCCTAGAAGACAGAAGGTTATGTACAGCAGTAATGGACTATCCAAGCACAAAGTGAAATGCTGCAGTTAGGCTAATAGCATGCTGCTACAATTCTGAAGTTACTGCAGATTACAACTCTATAGCATTATACTTTCTACCAAGGATCACTCATGCTCACATTTCTGGTAAGGACAGAAGTTTGCCAATCTCAAAGTTAAGATGGTAGTTTGAGTAGAATGTATCTATCAACCGTCCCTACAGGACTAGGTGGGCCTCGCAGCAGTCTCCTAACAAATATGAGATGAAAATAATTCCAAATAACTCTAAATGCTAAGCTAACACTGTCAAAAGAAAGCAACGATATATATCAATCCCAGAGTAGCCATCCAAAGGGAAGGGACAGGAAGGCAAAAACACTGACAAACTTCCCAGATTTCAAGACTGAAAATGTTGAGACATTTCTGAAACTCCTACAGACAGTTTCTCAAGATGACATGGCAAAATAAAAGCAGGAGAGAAGCATTTGCATCAGTACAGAGAAGGGCTCCAACAAGTTTGTGATAATGCAGGACATGAAACAGTAGAGGAAAAACAGACCCATCAGCTCTCTGAAAACACAGGTCACTTTGGAAATGTTCCAAGGCAACTACACTGAATGTTTTTTATTAATGAAAATACATCACTTATTTACCATCAGTTTAAGTTACTGACAAAGTTTCAGTCAAGCTCTTAGAAGCCTTATGGAATGCTTTCTGCTGTGTATGTCTTGGTTCATTCAATCCTGTTATTTTAAAACAAGTCTTAGAAATAGAAGTAAAGGACATGAAGAGGAAGAGAAGATATATGAAAGAGGCTGGAGGAATGGAATCTACATCTACAAATCCAAGAGCCAGAGATAACTGCTTAGGTGGGTACTAAGAATACGCATTGCTCTCTGAACACCTCCATACTACTGCAGTATGCTCAGCTCAAGTGTCTATGTGAATTAAGAGTTGCAAATTGTAGAGATCACCCTCCGATTATAAATATGAACAAGACTACTTTGTGAACCTTGCTGTAATCAGTGAGACATAAACACTGCTATGTGTCTGCTGTGTGTCGATTAAAGTTAATAGAAACCACAATTTTTTGGTTCTGCCAAGTTTAAAAGTTGCCATGTCACTCCCAGCTAGGTTTGCCAAGGCTACCAAATACCTAACAATACTCCTTCATGGGACACAAGTCCCTCTGAGGGCCAGAATAGGAAAAAGCAGCATCTGAAGTCTTTCAAGCTTGAATTGGACATACCAAGAGTTTTTTTTTTTTTTTTTTACATTAAGAGTATAGGAATAGGCTGTTCAGAGAGGTGGTAGATGCTCCTGGAAACATTTGAGGTCAGGCAGGACAGGGCTTTGAGCAACCTGCTCTAGCTGTAGGTGTCCCTGTTCATAGCAGGGGAGTTGGATTAGATGACCTCCAAGAGTTCCTTCCAACTCAAACGACTATGATTTTATACTACATAAAACTTGCTCCTAAGAAGGCTACAATAGCTACTTGATTACACCTCAGATTACAACTGTGCGTGAATTCTTTAGTATACAGCACATCTTTGAAACATTAAGAGAAGGGAGAGAAAAAACATTCTGTACTTATACTACCTGAAAAATATCTGGAAGTTTTCGAAGACGTGTTCCTTTAGAGAGCAATAGAGAGGGTGGTCCTTGTCCAGTTATGTGGTAAATATACAGTTTGAACCAAACTGAACTGACTTCTGGTATTGCAGGTCCAATATGCTGAAGAGATTATTCAGAAAAAAAAAAAAAAATAGAGCCTATTATTGCAATTCTTACATGTACAGATATAATTTAATAATTGATAGTTTTAAAGAAACATAAAGCTAGTTCTGCAGCATAGGAAGGAGTACAAAAATGTGTTAATTCACTAAGGAGAGATGATATTTGTAGTGGGGCTGGAACTACATGATCTTAAAGGCACCTTCTAACCCCAACTATTTTATTATCCCATGATTTTCTAGGTACTTTCTCTCTTGATAGTAATTTATATCAGCACAAGTTCAAGAAGAAAAAAATCTGTGGTTAACCCTACTTGAAAGGTACATTGCTCATAAATTAAAGTGTAGTAAGTATTCACATTTTACTCAATAAATATTTTTAAGAGTAATTGTAACACTATATAATGTATTTATAGTATTTATGTATTTATATTAGAATGTAATAACTACGGCTCTTCAGAAGAGACACACAGCAGACACGCACAAAAACAAAGCTACAAAACTATTTCTATTACTACATACTGTTTTTTCCCCTAGTATTTTTTCACCTGGGGTGTACAGCTACTAATAGGTCGAATTTCATTGGTGAGTGGTGCCATGGAAACCAGTAGGGTATAATTTTTGTTGAGAACTCTACTGCAGGTAGCTGGATCCAAGCCAAGCAAACTCTCACATCGTAAGAGATCCAAGGGAAATCCTGTGATGAGAATGTAAGATTCTTAATTATTTGGAATGGAACATAAAACCTAAAGCATGATTTCAGATTTTCCATTCTGCCCTCTAAGCCATTAATACAGTATTTTCCAAAACAAAGTTTTAAGTTACGTACAGACTTATTCAAGTTAATCCCAATAATTTCAGCAGTTCAAGTAATACAGGATTCCCTGGCAGAGCTACAACTTTGTCCTCACTGACTAACCGATCCCAGAAAAGCAAAGCACATTATTATTATTACACACAATTACTAAAAGAAAAGTTAAGCAAGATTTTACAAATATTTACCTTCATTAGAAAGAATACACTCATTTTCCTAGTACAGAAAATGTTTTGTTTTGTTTTTAAACAGAAAATTCCACTTGAATAAAAGGATTACTTCCTTTATTACAGCCTTCAGAAGCACACAATATAAAACCAAACCCTTCCTCAATTTCAGCTTGTCTTGCCACCATTACCATTAAGCATAATCTTTGGACATTAAGCCCAAGCCTGTGCACCAAATCTGTCATTCAACAAAACTCAGTACCACAAACTCAAAGGATGAAGCAATGTTTTTTTGGGTTCAGAATACTTTCAATCAAACAAGGCACTGATTGCCTTCTGATACAGCTGAGTACATGGCAGATAAGTAAAAACACAAAATACTTCCTCAGAAGAGTTCACAGTACCGTTAGTTGGTTGGTCAGGCTGTACAGCTTGTGCCCCTAAGTCTTTATTATGCCGTAAAAACAGTATTGTGTTTCTCAGTGTAAGTGCGTGATCAAAATACCGCTGTGCCTCCCCTTCACCTGTGCTTTGAACCTAAACAAGAAGCAAAATAAAGGCACATAAATGGCATATTGTTTGCACAAGTATTAATAACGCAATAGGAAAAAAATCAACAAGTTATCATTTGAAAGGTTTTTACTTCATAACAACTCCAAAGGTTATACACAGCAACTGTTAAAAGAAAAGCGAGCCTTTGTCACGTTAGTCAAATTGTCAAAAAATACGTAAGGACATCTCTAAATCTGAATCATGCCTCAGTTTTCAAGCAAAAAGATTTAAATTTCCAGCACTCCTGACTGGTGTACAAGAATACTGCAATTAACAGCACAGCCCTCTGATGTAATTCTGAAGTTGTCCTAGAATTATCTTTAAAAGGTGGATTAGTTAAACATACTAGAATATAACAGCCAAGTTTTTCTAAAAAAACGATATGCAGATTTTCAAAAATATTGCAAATCACTTTTTAGTAAGATGTTATTTAACAAACAAGCCATAACACAGATGCATGTACACACAGACCTGGGTAAACGTAGTTCTTTAATTCAATCTGCTTACCAGACATTCTACACATTCACATACATGCATAGTATGTTCCACAAAGTCCCTTGCAGCATGGATACTGTTAATAATCAACAATTAACTGAAGGACTTAGGTTTGGTATGATGAGGAGCATTCATATCACTCTATTGTTAAACGAGGCTCTTAGAGCAGACTTACAAAATGAAAATACTGAAGGCTTTTTGTCCCTTTACACTAGTGCTGAGAAAACGTTCGGCCATGCATGCAACAGATTACCTTCTCCAGCTCCACCAAGAAACTGTCAAGGGACTCATCTGACAGTTTCCCTACTTCAAACATAGTGACCGCATGACTTTTCAAGTTCTGGAATAATAAAACAAAACTGTTTTAGTTCTTTGAAAAGAGAACAGGCAAGCAAAAATGTTATTAAGCAAGTGTTTCTTAGCCACAACAATGTAAGTTTTAAAAATAATTATAGCTGTGTTATATGGAAGTAAAACATCTTCAAACTCTACATGTTGAGTCTTAGTGTAATACATTGAACAATTTGGACATACTGGTGAAAGATTTCCCATCATTAGAAAGGCAGTGAGGGTAGAATCAAACAGGAAGGCAATACGCTTTGTGTGTCCGCTGGACAGATTCAGGCTGCTCACACTGGCTGTTTCAGCTAATAAAGAACAAGGAAAAAAAAACAAACATGATTACATTTCATTTAAAAATGAAAACATCAAGTCATACAACTATTTAAAATAATCAAAAAGCCTTAGTTAATGTCACGCTGAGTGCAACAGAATTCCCTGATCAGTGCTGAATAATCAATGTTGATCATTCATGTATTGGTATCTTGGCATCAGCTAATATTGATAACATAAATGAGCAAAATACCTTACGTTCTAACAATGAGGCTGAATAAACCAAGACTTAGACATCACCTCCCCCCCAGTATAATTTATTAAAAAAAAAAAAACAAAAAAAAAACTCACAGATTTTACATTTCATTTGTTTATAAACCCCTTTACAGCCTACAGTGCTATAAAGTAATTGTTCCTAATGTATTAGATTCATTGGTCATGCTAACCTGGATCATCTTGACTGTTGGTGTCTGTATCTGTGGCTGAAGACCCAGCTTCCTGTACAGGACTTCTGTTTTCCCCACTGTCCCACGAAAGCAGCATCTTCTGAGGATCCAAAGTACTCCTATTAACGTGAATTAAAATCCACAACTATCAGTCACTGCAGCACCAGAGAACTATTTTTGCCTTCCAGTGCTAGTATTCCATGCACAGGCATGTCCAACACATTCCTTTCAATGTTTCTGAGCCCTAAATCAGTCCAGCTTGATGGCTCTCAGAGTCCTGCTTTTGCTTCAGCAGAAAAGTTCACTCGGTAGGTTGAAAAATACCAGGTTTTGAATAACAGAACTGAAAAAAAAGTGATCAAATCACCACTGCTCAAGAAAAATCCAATGAACAGTATTCTTCATTTTGTTCTCACATTCTGAATTAGCATTAATGATAACTGGTTTTTTAGGTTTTTGTTGTTTGTTTTTTTTCTTCTCCTTTAAGTGGCTTAAGAGAAACTGAATTCAATGAAGTACCTGACAATGCTTAGATCATGTAAACTGGCACTCCAACTTGGAGAACCCTTTGCTTTCTATTATCAGGATTTTACACAGATAAATGTAGATTAAGAGTGTCTACGACTGTACTACTAGACAACCTCACAGCAAGTAAGCAAGCTTTACTACATAATCACATGAAGCAGTACCAACAGGCATCATCTCTGTTCCAGCACAGTAAGAGCTGTTGTTTCCTCTCCAGTGCTTCAGAACCAACTCACACTTGTCTGCTTCAAAAGTAAGTAATGAAGCACTTAAAAGTCAAAAAGCCACCACTGAGTAATGGCAACAGAAGTAGTATTTAAAGGGCACATTACCACCCCTAATCCTCAGATTAGAGAGATAATCAAGTATTCATGTCACTACACACACACACACACACACACACACTAGAAAGCCAAGTGAAATCAGAAGTCAAAAAAAGGAACCAAATCTAAAAAGGAATCAAAATAAAAAAGGAATCAAATCTAGCTTTCTCTTCAAAGAGAAATACACTTCGTAAAGGAACACTTACTTCAGTCTGTTCACTGAAGGAACATTCTTCCACGATAGATGAAGGTTATCCAAGTTTATGACTTGGCCTTTTTTATGAGCAAAGCCTAATCGACAATACATGGACACAGCATTCTGAAGAAACACACAAAAATTACACAAACATAATAAGGAATTGCAACATAAAACCCCTCCACCAAGCCAACCTGCAAGACTGAGATTTTCACATCAAATAACTAAGTGCAACACACATACCTTTACTAAAGATAAGTCAATCTCCAGGACATTTGCAAGCTGAAAAGAAAAAAAAGAAAAGTCAACAGTGCAAAATTAATAATGCAGAGTAATCCACAATTTTTGGGCTTTGGCATTTTTTGCTGGTTTTGTCTCTTTATTTCTTAATACAGACTGTAATGGTAGAAGCAATTTTGTCTTGACCAAAAGCAACAGGGAAAAAAATGGGACGAAGTCTCATGATCGCTGCACTTTAACGCATGCAAAAGAAATATGAGGTTATCTTCCACTGTATAATTTTTAGGTTAATCAGGTATATTGTAAGACAGAAGAAAATAAAATCTATGTGTGTTCATAAGGTATTTTTTCAGGTACTTTTTCCCCGCACGTTTGAGAATGAGACCTTATGAAAAAAGAATTAGAACCATAAATATTTATGCAAAAGTTAGGTTCCTACTTTAAGCCAACACCCTGCATGTTTCACAATCAGAAATTTTTACTTTTATTTTTTCTTAATTCACACTAGCAAAACAGAACCAATATAATTGGGACAGAAGGAAAACAGACTCCCATTCTAACCAGTACAGAATAAACTGCATAAATTATTCCCATGTAATTCACTCCAGCTGATGGAGTTGCTTCACTGAACGTGCATCTTACTGCAGAACTAATGAAGTTGTATTCAATACTAGGGAAACCTATTTATCTCAAACTCTGCAAGTCAGACAATACTTATAAAACTCCCTGATACCTATCCATACTTCTGCCTTAAGTATTTCACCTGTGTGCTTTGGGCCCTTTCATGGTTTTCCCATCACCAAGACACAAGGTGAGTTTTACTTACCTCTGCCACATTAGTGTGTTCATCTATTGAAACAAAAATCTTGTACAGGAGTGTTTCAAAATAATCACCTTGCACTCTGTTCATCACAAAACCTTCAAGTGGTGGCACTGAAAAGAATTACTTGCATGATTACAACTTGGTAATTTTCTTTTTTAAACTGAAACTGCATAAAACAGAAACTAAAGTAACACAGTGGTGCCTGTATTACCATTTTACAATGGTAACTGTATTACTCAAGTTTCAAAGAATAAAAACCTAAAGAGAGTTTATATGGTACTAAAATTTCTCCTAGCCCTTAAGAAAATAACGGTTGCCAAATTTTTTTTAGTATTAAAAAAACCCACTCTGCTTTGCATCACTGTCTTTCAGACTCCTGCTCATCCACTACAGATAATTTCTAGCCACTCAGCCCATAAAACAGTTTTCTAACGCCAATAGAGAGTAAATTGTGAAAGAAAAAAGCGAGTGGGGGTTGAGGCATGACAACAACAAAAAAAAAAGTCACCCTTCTTCCACCCTGGGCTCCACCTCTCCACCCTTTGGGAGCAGCCAAAGCTAGTATTTCTTGAACTTAGAGGGCATTTGCTTAATTGATCTCTACTACAGTAACAACACGGAGTTCTGCATGGGCAGGTTTCAACAGTGTGTGTCTTTACACAACTCAGAAACCCTTGAGACTTAGCACAGCACGAGCTGTTCAAAGGCAGCCATGTGCTGCACTAGTTTAAGCTCCTACCTAGTGCCCAGACACAGTGCGCTGCTGTAATTGAGGTGACAAAACAAAGGATGATGGAACTGATATCTATTAAATACAATTTTTAAAAAGCTGAGTCAAATAAAAAGAAAAAGCTGTATAGGAATGAAAAACTCAAGCCTTTTTAGCACAGCAGCTACATTTCTTTACATTGTGATTCCTTTCCATTACAGACGTACAGGAAGGTCCCTATGTCGTACTGTGGATCTTTAAAACCATCAACTTACCTAGATATTTATATCAAAAGATATGAATTCAAATTGAAGAAAGTCCTACGTACTATTTAAAACCACTATCTTTATAACAACTGAAATAAATCCAAGAAAATGCAGGTTTATACTACAAAAATATTTACTTGCCTGCTATACAGCTGTCATCAGATATTGGTACATCAAGGTAAATAAATCCCTTGTTATACAAGCCTGTATAAATTAAAGCAAATCATTGGAGAAAAAGCACTTTGCAGAGTCCTAATGATACAAGTAGACTTTCCCATCAGTTCAGTTCAGAATGTAAAGCAGTATTTCCTATTAGCTTATACAACATTATTTTGCAGTACACAATCAACAAACCACATCCAACATTCAGCAGGTGTTCTCCTATAACAGAGCTCTTTACTTGAAGTTTGATGCAATGTACCTGGAGCTTTACAACTACTTCCCTCAACACTTTCTGAGTCATCGTGTGCTTTTCCAGAGGTCTCATCACCCTACCAATTGCTTTCAGTAGAAAGAGCTGTGGCTCTTCAGCCTGGAGAAGAGAAAGCTCAGAGGAGACCTGATGGCAGCCTTCCACTACCTGGAAAGGGACCTACAGGAAAGCTGGAGAGGGACTTTTTATAATGGCAGGGAACAACAGGATGAGGAGAAATGGTTTTAAACTGGAAGCAGGTAGATTTAGACTAGATATCAGGAAGAAAGTCTCTACTGAGGGTGGTGAGACACTGGAACAGGTTGTGTTCACAGCAAGGCTGTGGATGCCCCCTCCCTGGAAGCATCCAAGGCCAGGCTGGATGGGGCTGTGAGCAACTTGGTCTAGAGGTACATGTCCCTGCCTAAAGAAGGGGGTTGGAACTAGATGATCTTAAAAGTCCCTTTCAAACCAAATCATTCTTCAACGCTATGATTTATAGAGTTCTCAGAGATGATTTGTCAATGAATTCGTGCTCCCTTGATTAATACAATTTGTCTGTAACACTGGAGTAGGGAGAAGCACACAGTTTTCATTAACATTTGCAGACATTTGAGGTAGACAACCTCTTAGACTCAAGTTTAATTTTTTGATAGTGTTCAAATAGTAGGAAATTTCAAAACCTTTTCTTTGAAAAACAAATAGTTAAGTTCTAGCTCCCAGCAATTTTTATTTATTGTCATCTTTATTTTTAGTTTCTCTCATTCTCATATACCCTCTGTTCCCTCTTGAGCTCCTACTATCAGTTTCTAAAAAAGGAATGTGTTAAATTACATGAAATAATATCAGAGCAACACCTCCTAACATCTCACTGTTAAATTATTCACAAAACTTAAGACTGCAGCCTGTACAAGCTCTTGAGTATTTCCCTCCACATCCTCCCAAACTTTAGCTATCTTCAATTCTTTTATACCTAAGTTTTCAGACAATGCCCTCTGAATTTACTGAGCAATATCTACACACAGGAAAGGAATGCCAATTAAACACTTACTGTGAACTACATTGAAGTCCAGTGAACCAGCAAGCTGAGGACCTGAATCAATTATCTTATCAATAGCAGACTTTTCCGATGTAGTACAAATCTAAGTAAATAAATCTGCGTTAGTCTGTTGCAGAAATGAGTCTATGCAACTCGAATAATACTGCTAAAAATAATAACAAAAAAAAGAACCATGAACATTTCACATTCAGATAAGTCACAGGTAATACAAAAACACAGAAAGTAACCATGTTCTTCATTAAAATGCTTGCACTGAAGAATTCACCGCACTTCTTACTGAAGTTTTTACTCTTGTCCCTAAATAAAGTTACATGTGCTCTAGGAACAGTATTTAATTGCATAGGTATTTTACAGTAGTGTATATTAGCTTTGCTTTTTAAAACTTCTAAATTAAGTGTTCAAACGCAACTAGAACCATTCTAGAAAGAGGGCAATTTCACTATCAAGCAAATTCCTTCAGGTTAACTACTTTAGAATGTCAGAATGTACACAACCACTGTCCAAGATACTCCCAATAACAGTCAAAGGAAGTTTCCATCACTGCATTGACTATGCTCCAATCTAAGGTAAAAGGTAAACCAACAGAGAAGGAATTAAATACAGATTTGGTGTACTGATGGGCAGTTGGCTGAATATGAGCCAGCAGTGTGCCCAGGTGGCCAAGAAGGCCAATGGCATCCTGGCTTGTAGCAGGAATGGTGTGGTGAGCAGGACTAGGGAAGCCATCCTGCCCCTGTACTCGGCACTGGTGAGGCCTCACCTTGAGTACTGTGTTCAGTTTTGGGCACCTCAGTACAGAAAGGAGATTGAGGTGCCAGAGCAGGTCCAAAGAATGGCAACAAGGCTTGTGAAGGGCTTGGAGAATATGGCCTGCAAGGAGAGACTGAAGGAACTGGGGCTGTTCAGTCTGGAAAAAAGAAGGCTGAGGGGAGACCTTATTGCTCTCTTCCAATATCTGAAAGGTGCTTACAGCAAGAGCAGGGTTGGTCTCTTCTCACTGGGGACAGGATGAGGGGAAATGGCCTCAAGTTGTGCCAGGGTAAGTTTAGGTTGGATATCAGGAAAAACTTCTTTACATAAAGGGTTGTTAAGCACTGGAATAGGCTCCCCAGGGAGGTGGTTGAGTCACCATCCCTGGATGTGTTTGAAAACCATTTGGATGTGGTGCTCATGGACATGATTTAGTGGAGGGTTGTTAGTTAGGGTAGTTTGATTAGGTTGTGGTTGGACTCAATGAACTTTAAGGTCTTTTCCAATCTGAGTGATTCTATGATTCTGTAAGATCAGGAGACTATAGCTGACTGTAGAAAAACTGTGAGAATGAAATAGGATACTGTGAAAATGAAAACAGAATGATGACAAAACATTAAGCCAGCTCACAAGTTTTTCAAGTTTCAAATGAAACAAATAGGGATACAAGGAGCAGAAATGAAGTAACAAATAAGGTCCACTAGCACTGAAGGTGAAGATTTAGTCAAAACCAATATGTGAGCTAAAACATGAAATTTGAGAAGGCACATTTTGCTGCCTGTTCCCTATAAAGCACAGCAGCACATGCTTCAGTTCCCAGTTCTGCTGACACAAAGCAACCTCAGCACTGAATGTGACACAAAGCACAAAGGAGGAAGAGGGCAGAATATACCAACAAAGAATGATACCACTTCTACCAGTTCCAATCTCTATTTCCATGTCAGTTGTTATAAAAGCTCCAATCTTCAGTCAGTCTTTGTGTAGAATACACAAAGGGAAGTCTGTTTTCAGGAACCATGAGTGTATTCAACCAAAATTAGAGCTGCCAGCTGCACTTAAGTACCTTGATGTCATCCTCAGTGATGTAGCCAGACTGCACAACCCACCAAGCTTCTATGGTAATTTCCACAGGTTTCACAGGTAACAGATCACGCGCAGTTTTCCTTCTGAAAAATTTCTGCAGTGGTACAGTCCATTTGAGATAGAAATAAATAGCACTTCACACGTGCAGGCAACCATCTACCTTTATATAATCTGATTTTTAAGTACATCATATTTAGACTGGGCACACAAATACTATTAACCTTGCCTTTTAGTAAAGGCCCACACTTGATCAGAAACAGAATGTGCTTCCTCCTCTCTCAAATTACATGAGATTGGGTTGTAAAAAAATTATTTACACCTACTACTGTCAGATGAAATCTCCACATATATCCATATTCTGTATGTCACTAAGTTTATCTAAAGATATTAAGATCAAGTCCAAGAACAGCAAACAAGTATACAATTGGTCTACTTAAAATAAATGCAGCAGTCTTAAAATCAGTTTTAATAACACAGTTTATTTACTTTAAAAGAGCAAGATTCCATATTCTCAGTAAGAAAGATGCTATGAAAGCACAGTGAATTTCGGTACAAGAAAGAAAAACTAAAATGTACTGTTCATTTACCAGTTAAATAGCTGATTCTCCATTCTCTTCCACTGTATAGTTGCTACGTTTAGATCCACTCTATCTACTTCATATTTTGGTGGACACCCTTGTATTTGTTGATTGTTATTATGTTTTGGCTTTTTTTAAAGTAATGCTGAATATCCGTTCTTTAGTCTATTTTGGTTTCAGTACTTTTTTTTGTTGTTAAGAAACAGAAAATAATTAGCAGTATGTTACGCAGTGCTCAATCAAGTGCACATAATAGCAAACTAACAAGGCCCACAAATTTTTACCACTCCTTCCTTTAAATCATGCTCTATAGGTGAGGGAAGAAAGAAGAAACAGAAGACAAACTTACCTTAGAAGATCTACATTGGTTCATTAGATCTATATATTGGTTTCTTCCTATACCAAGAAGTCTTAGACCTGGAAAATAATCAAAGTTTTATTTCTCTTGGAAAGGTTTAAGCTGAAGATACATAAAATCTTCTTGAAAGAATCAAACCTACTTGTAACTAATACTTTTATTTACTCCTTCTTCCCAAAATAAAAGGATTCCTGGAGGAATTAAACTCAGTCTCAAATGAATTTATGAATTTGGCCAAAACCACGTCCATCTAAAAAGCACAATCTATTCCTATTAATTTACTTTACATTCTATATATATATATATATATTAAGTATCCAGTTTCTCTCAAGTCACAGAGTAGCAGGGAATAATCCAACTCTTTTCTCTTCTGCCTTCACTCCAACAGGTCATTACAATGCTTCAAAACAAGAGAACTAAAGTTGTACCTGTTTCGATCAACAGGGTGTTTTTCTACCCTACTGCCACACCATGCACTTGATTAGAACTCTGTAAACTAAGAATTAGAGCACAAAAGACCATGTAAGCCTTTAAGGAAGATGACTAAGATCTAGCTCTGCTCAAGTAAATCAGAATTTAATTCTATAACTGCCAGCCTTCAACCATTAACAAATTATGAAAAGGTACTGGAAAACTACCCAGGAGCTTTAACCCACATCCTGTCTCAGCTGTCAAAGGGTGATCATTCTGCCCTCCTCCAAGTTTAATATGAGCTTATGCATAACCTGTCCTTCTTGTGCCCACAACAGTCTAACAGAAAGCAAGACAGTCTATCTGGCACATTTAGGGGTATCACAAAGTGACAATCTCTTTTCTTGTAAATCTTTGTCCACTGGTGCTAATTCATAGCAGAGCCAACAGCCTTGCAGAGTTTTTCCAAAGCTTTCTGCCCAACACACACCAAAACACACAGTGGGAAAGTATCAGCTGCTCAGCTGGATGACACAACAGCCAGTAAGACTTTCCACCCAGAAGCTCAAACAAACAGGAAGGCACTACAAGCAAGGACAGAAGCTGTTTTTTACCATGCCTAGTATTACTTAAATCAGCCCAATTCCTGTGCTTATCATACAGACAGTACATTGCATGGACAGCACACCTTCTTGAATACCACTATATAAATGCTTCTATACCTTCATTAACACATTTGTGCTCAAGCAAATAGATGCCCCATTAATTCATTTTCAGAAGGTCCTTAACTCCAACTCACTGAAAGCAGTACTGCAGATAGATAATACTTACAGTCAGCAGCAGTAAAGTTGGGTAATGAATCATAGCTTTTTTCACTGTTCATTATATCCTGAAAAAGACAAGAAAATTCAATTGCAGTAAGAATGTCATTGCTTCAGAGAAGCAAATGTAAAATTCATCCTTTTAAAAAAAAAACAAACATGAAATTAAATCAGAAATCTATTAAAGTCAGTACAGTAATTCTGGCTAGGATAACGTTAATTTTATTCATGGTAGAAGATGTTTTGGATTTGTGATCAAAACAGTGCTGATAATACATGAGTGTCTTAGCTACCGTGGAATACTGTGCTTACACAGACTCAAGGACATCTCAGCTTCTTAGCCTGCCCCAGAGGAGGGGCGGGGGTGCACAAGAGGCTGAGAGGAGACAGAATCAGGACAGCTGACCCAAACTGTCCAAAGAGATTTTCCATATTGTATGACGATATCATATGAAGATATCATACATGGTATTCAACAACACAAGCTGCAGGAAAGGAGGAAGAGAGGAGAGAGAATGCACCAAGCTACAGCATTTGTCTTCCCAAGTAACCATTACACGTGATGAGCCCCAGGAAATGGCTGAACATCTGCCTGCTGATGGGAAGCTGCCAACGAGTTCCTTATTTAGCTTTGCTTGCGTGTGCAGCTTCTGCTTAACCTATTGAACTGTCTTCATCTCAACCCACAAGTTTTCTCACCTTTACCCTTGACATTTCTCTCCCTCATCTCTCTGACATCCAAAGAAAACAAAAAGGTTGCCAGAGAGCTGACAGAAAACAGAACCATTTTAGTACTCACAGAAATAGCTTTTGATATGGTGAAATGCTATTTCTGAAGAAGAAAACAACCATACAAACGTGTTGCTCTTTTCTTGTTTAGTTGGGTGTGTTGTTTTTTTGTTTTTTCTTTTTTAAGCAAAATTCCCTTTGTATTCAATCAAAATTTTTATTTACCAAACAGAATGGGGTATATCTTTCATAAGCAGTTTGAAATGAAGAATCACAAATCTCAAGGATCAAAAGAAAGATGGGCTTAAAAACAAGTCCCACCCAATTCCACATGACAAAGTCCAGTTCTTGAAAGGTTTATGGGGGTACAAGGGTGAAAAAACAGCAGATACAAGTAGTTATCTAAAAGCTGCAATTTGTTAGCAGTTCCTACCCAAAAACAAACAAACCACGTGACATTGTCTTGCATACACTGACATCTCTAGGACATAATACACCATTTCTCACCATAGTTTTGCACTCACCTCCATTATGCCCGTGTAATACGAAAACGGTGTTACCCTCAGTCCTTTCACCATTATGTCAGACAAATGGTAGGGGTACAACATCAGGTGGTCACGGCTGTATTTTAACAGATCCTCGTAATATTTACGTTCATCTTTCTTGACATGCTTAACTACAAGAAAAGAAGAGAAAAAGTTGCAATGTTAGATCAAATTCAGTCAAAAAATGTCTCAACAGAAGACTAAGAAAGACTATAACAGAGATTGACAGAAAGCTAAAAACAAGATAAAGGAAGGCTATATGGCATGTAGCATCCAGAGATTTCTATATACAATATAATTACTTTCAGAGCCATTACACATCAGAACAGAGCAGATTTACTTTGCAGGTTACCAGGAAGTGGCCCATTGAGACAACTTACGCAGGCTCTCTGGAAAATGATCTGTTAATTAGTCAAATTATTATCTACTGTAAAAGAGGACTGAATGCAGTCAGCGCAAAATAAAATGGGAGCCTGCAAACAAGCCTGGACTCAGATGTGAAGACTTCTCATGATGTTTTATCATTCAGAAGTATTTCAGGGACAGAGGGACCTTTAAACAGGACAAATTCTTACAGTTTTAGAGTAAAAACAATCTTCCACAGCGAAGATTCGGGCAGCAATTAAAAGTTAGCTGCTTTACTCACCTAAGTTATTCCGGTACCGTAACTGATTGCGGATGCTGTAGAGTACAACCTGCCTTTCATATTCCCTCTGAGAGTTTCCAAGAGCCTTAAAAATAGAAAAGCCTTTTAGCTGACGTGCACAAAACCTGTTTTAGTTAAACCAGCACAAGGTGTCTCATAAGGGAGCACATGCAGGCATATGTTATTTAATGAGTCCCTCACATCATTATAGTGATAGTATCTTCAGTTCCTCTATGAGGTCAAAAGTATCTTGAGTTAAATGGGTCCCTCCACAGAAGATGGTGAATTAAATAGTGATTTCTAGATATTATTTCTTTTTCTAGAGCCATTGTGACCAAAAAGGGAGCCTTTCATCTTCAAATCAAAGGTTATAAACATTCTTCTAGTTTACATGAAGCACTGAGCATTACACCAAGCATTCAGCATCTTGCAGCCTTGAAAAAGCACCTAGAATTAGTGCAGCATGAATCAGTAACTGTGAATGACACAAAGTTTCACCTATGGCACCTGAGAAGCTTATAATAAAATGAAAAAGTTCAGCTGTAATTTCCCACAAGCACGCAATCAAGTGATCTTTGGTCACAAGATTAAGGCATACAGTGCTTCACTATCCCAAAACAAGATGAAAAGAGAACTTTCAGTTAATGTTTTAAATGCCTTATTTCAAAACCAGTCCTGCAAAATCCTTCACATTATTCTTCTGCTCAACTAGAAAGTGAGCAGGTTTTCTTCGCCTGGTTCCCTCACTTGATGCCCATATTACAAAATACACTTAGATTGAAAAGTACTTTACTGAATATAGGGGATCCCTTCTACTCTGCCCTGATGAGGCTACATCTGGAATATTGTGTCCAGTTCTGTGCTCCCCTGTTCAAGATAGGAAACTGCTGAAGAGAGTCCAGCGGAGGGCCACAAAGATTATTAGAGGCTGGGAGCATCTCCCATTTAAAGAGAGGCTGAGATCTGAATCTGTTCAGCTCAAAGAAGAGAAGACTGAGAAGGAATCCTATCACTGCTAACAAATATCTCAAGTGTGGGAATCAAGTAGATGGAACCAGGCTCTTTTCAGCGGTGCGCAGTGACAGAATAAAGGGCAACAGTCAAAAACTGCAACACAGGAAGTTCCATATAAATATGAGGAAGAACTTCTTTATTGTAAGGGTACAGAGCACTGGAACAAGCTGCTGAGAGAGGCTGTGGAGTCTCCTTTGGAGAAATTCAAGACCCATCTGGATGCTTTCCTGTGTAACCTACTGTACAGAACGTGCTGTAGCAGGGGGGTTGGACAAGAAGACCTCCAGAGCTACCTTCCAAACTCTGCAATTCTGTGAATATACACGACAAACAAGCACAGTACCCATGCACTGCAGAACTCAGCATCAGAGAAGAGAAATACACTCACAGACAGGATCCATAACTGACTTAACTTTGAAGTATTTTCTCCTGGTACAAAAATATTAAGGGCTACTCTAAAACTAAATACAACAGAATCCCAGAAGCTACTTTAAATAAAATAACACATTATACAATGATGTATTTTCCACCTTAATCACATAGCATGGCACTCTGTTGGGCAAGTAAATGTAATGCAACATTCACATTCCTCTGTAAGAGGAACTACCTGACACTCAATGGAGTTAACTATTCAGGGCCTGCAGTCACTACTCTTCCTCTCCATCCTTTGTGCAAGAGCAGGAGTTGCTTTCCATCCCACCCACTTCAAACAGAACTTGGCTTTGGAGCAGAGATGGATGCTTCCCTCTTGGCCTGACACACTACCTGCGCGCTGCTGTGAGGGACCTGCGAAACCCAGCACATCAAACTTTCATGAGCTGTTTTTTTTCCCCGGGCCACACAGTGCACAGCTCCCTGAGCACAGAGCAGCACCGCTCTCTGATGGCACCGGGCTGGATCAGCTTGCCCCCAAGAAAGGATATACAGATGCTCACATCTTTCAGTCTCTACAGAGATCCCAATCTGCCCAACAGCCCCCCCCCCCCCCCGATAGGCACCACACCATTCCTATGTGCCCCCCTCCACACATATACCCCCAAACCACCCCTGCACGCTGTTCTCCCCTCATAAACACCCCAACCCTCCAGCAGAACCCTACATCCCCTTCTCCACAGGAGAGCCCAGGTCGCCCGCCCACCCCCGGTTGGCAGAGCAGGGCCGTGTCGAGCCGCCACCTCTCCCCGCGCCCAGGAGCCGAGGCTGCCCGCCCGGCGCTACCTGCTTCACGCTAGCCGGCAGCCGGGCCCAGAGGTAGTTGTGGCGGATGTGGAATTCCACGTCGATGTTCATGGCGAGGGGAGCCGAGCGCACCGCACAGCCCCACCACCAGGGGGCGCTCCAGCCCCGGGGCCCCTCTGCTCTTAACCCTCGCCGCCACCGCCACTGCCTCTTCTTGCTCGCCCGCTGCCGCTTCCGCGTCACGGCCCCGGAAGTGACCGCGCGTCACTTCCGGTGGACACGAAGGAGCTGCGCATGTGCGGTGTTTGAGAAGGGGTGCGGCGTTGTGCGGGCTCCTGCACGGGTTCCTTTCTTTTCTTCTTTCCGTCCTTCCTTCCCTCCCTCCCCTGGCAACCGCCTGCCGTCCCTCTGTGCCAATGCTGGTGACTGCTTAACGTCAGGGCAGAATCTGGAGCAGAAAGAAGCGTTTCATGACGTGGAACAAGCAGGAATGCTTCTTTTTGCCCTGGGTTATTTCAGCTGATTGTGTAGGGTCTGCAAAGCCTGGGCATGAAATCGTGCGGACCTGAGTGCCTGCTGCACCATCCTGCTGGGCATTGAGCCAGTGGGTTGGTGTGGTCAGGGAGTGCCTTCTCTTAGCAGTTAAGTTTTTATTAGTCATGCTGAATGTTATCAGTCAAAATCAGTGCCCACTTCCTGTGCAAAAGCATTTTCTTACTATCAGCAAATTACAAATGAGGAAGAACTATTTCTAATGCTATGCAATGTTTTAGTAGATTATTTGATAAGTAAGTAAAAACAATGGAAAGCTTGGTAGGAACCTTCAGGCCATGGTGACAGGTGAAAGGGGACCAAAACGGAGAGCAACTCAGTGCTCTGTTACCTTTGAGTCAGTGTCAATGAACTGCAGACCCATTTCTGCATCTTTGATGTCACTAGTGTCTCGGGGATCTGACTTGTGTGTGAGTGCAGAGACACATTGCCGCAGGCAACATATGTGCTGTGTGCTGCCCACAGAGATCTCAGCAGCTGGGGAGGTGGTGAGATGAGCTCTTCAGTAATTCGGTCCAAGAGAGCAATCGTAGCCTGTGGAACTGACCTCATCCTTCAAACCGTAGTTCTCAGGTTTCACTTCTCTGTCACACCCAATGCTGGTTTATAAATGAACTATGAAGAGATACTAATACAAAGGCACTTTTTCTTGGTCACTGCTACGTAAACCAGGTGGTGCAGGACTTTGGCTGGTACTGTCTGTTTGTTTTTGGTATCGGTAATTGGACACACCCCACAGAAGGGCAGGATGATTTTTTCATGGATGGTTCTGAAGTAAATTCTCTTGTTAGTGGCACCAGGACATAGTAACTATTTTATTAAATCAGGTACAAAAATTCACAAGCTAAAAATTCTGGTAGTCAGTATAACAGTAATGTATGCAATAAAAAAATTAAAAAGAACATATTTGATAGTGTGGTAGTTTCCATTATATTCCTATCAGCTAACTCAGACTTTTCAATGATAGCACTGGCAAAAGGGAAGCAAAACCAAGAAAATTAGGAAGAAACATTTGGGAGGTACAGTCTTCCTTTGTGATAACAAGCAGAAATCTAACACTTAAGCCTGGAGTGCATCATCCTTTTGTTTCTTCTTCCATGTTGTGTAATCTACACTTACCTTTATTTGACTCCTATTTCTTAGGTTTGTTTAGACCATCTTTTTGCCTTTGATGTCTCTAACTGTTCATAATTCATTCTATCAGTTTGCTTTCCAAATTGATTCCTGTCTTCTTGTTCTCTGCATCTGCATGAAGCCTCCGTTATGGCTTAGTGTTTTTTGAAGTTTAATTTGGTTAAAAGTACCTGTCACAGCATTACTGGTACACATATGTTTTCCTACTGTACTTCTTTTAATTTAGTCTCTTTTAGTTTTACACAGTAGTTATACACAGTAAATCTTGAGATCTACTTTCTCAGTTCACTATTTTTTTCAAAAATTATCTGCTTATTTTCCTTATCACACATCTTTTGTGCTTTTTCTGTCTATGCTTTTTCTTGTCTGGGTGCCTACCTCTGCAACCTATTGTAGGGAACCTGCTTTAGCAGGGGAGTTGGACTCAGTGATCTCTTGAAGTCCCTTCCAACCCTTGTGAATTCTGTGATTCCTTGCAATAAGTTAGTTCCACATTTCATTACTGTTGCCCTAATTTATGTATTCAGATAGACCATGCGCATGCACAGCATGGCATAGTATGTATTACTCAATCTACTGTTAGGTTTAAATCCTTAATGAGCTGCCCTCTATTTTACCTGCTGGGATGCTATATTTCTCTCACAGTCAGTAAGAGCATTAGGATTATCAGCTTGTATTGGAATCTATGGGTGCCCACCAACCTAGCAGATTCCAGAGAAACCCTACAGTTGTTTATTCTCCAACTTCAGTATTTCCTTTAATGTCTGTTGGATCAGCTTTATTCCCTAAATAATCATGGAAGAAGTGGATGGTTCCTAGTTCAGTAATAGTATTAAAGATGTCTAAGATAGGATGACCACCACAAGGCAGTGAATTCTGGAGAAAACTCATTCTCACATTTGATTTTTACATCTTGTGTTAGAACACCACCATCAAACCTGATCATTCATTTTTAAGTGTTTGAAACTTACCAAGGTCTCTGCAGGAAAGTACTGCCTGTCAAACACACACTGCTGTCTTCAGAATAAATAGACATGTTAAATAAATGTTGAATATTCTCAGAGCTAGAATTATTACTGCATTTTTGTAACCCAGTGATTTCCTTCTGCTTACTGTCTAGCTAATCAATCAGACTCTTTTCCCAAATTCACGTGTGCTTGTTTTCTTCTCTTGGTTTTCTCTCTGGCTGTCCTTCCTGGTCTCTAAGGCAGTGTGATGAGTGAACTTTCCCATGGGCTGCAGCTCCTCATGCTCTGCTGCAGCGTGGGTCCGTACCACAGGTCTATCCCTCAGGACTGCGCTGCTCCAGCACAGGCCCCACAGGCAGCCTCCTTCGGGTCACATCCACTGCCTCACTGCGGGCTTCTCCATGGCTGCATGTGGAGATGTGCCCATGGGCTGCAGGGGGACAGCCTGCCCCATCATGGGGCTCTTCTGGGCACCAGGGACTTCTCCAAACCTGGAACACCTCCTGCCCTCTGTCTGCACTGACCTTTTGGCTGCAGGGCTGTTTCTCTCACAGTTTTCTCTCACACAGCTGCTGCTGTGTTTTTTTATACTTCCTTAAATACATGCCACAGAGATGCCGTCAGCTTCATGGACTGGCTCAGCTTTGGCCAGGGCAAATTGGAACTGGCACTGCCTACAAGGACAATCCTTAGACTCTTCTCCAGAGGCCATTCCCACAGCCCCTTTTCCCCACTGCCAAAACCTTGCTACATAAACCTAGTGCTGTGAGATTCTGTTTGATGTATTCTGTGGGAGCTGTGAATCTTCAATGACGTAATAAATACCACGCAGTCCCATACAATCAAATATTAACTTTTTGAAACAGCATCCTTCCTTCTAAGATGATTGGAAACTTTATGTTAGGCACTACTGTAGTTAAGTGTTTTAAATTACTGTAATAACAATTAATAAAAGGTTGTATGTATAACCTTAGGGTTCATATTATGAAATCCTTATTTTCTCTGGCAAAACCAGCCAACTCCATGATCCAACAGGATGTGCTATTAGATTGCAGGGATAATAAAGCTACCATGTAATGATGAATACACCCCACCTTGAAGTGACTAGAATTTAAATAAGTCCAAAGTTATTGATTAACCCAGGGCTGGGTAGAACATAGCAGCTCTATGAAGAGTTGGCTATTTCATTTGAATGCTTGTGTTATTGAAGAGAAGAAGAACTGTGTCTTCCACACTCAGGCTAAGCAAAAATGGGTGGTTCACATGTAAGTACTTCTTTAATTTGGATAGTTTAATTTGGACAAGAATTTCCTGTGTTTTTTGTTTGTTTGTTTTTTTGTGTAGGTTTTTTTTTTTGTTTTTTTTTTTTTTTTTTTTTTTTTTTTTGTCCCCTTTCACTTTAAATTACATTAATATAGCTGCAAATGAAGATTTAAATTCGAAGTTTATTTAAAGCGTGGGCAGAAAAATTGTATGTATGTAGCTGGTAACATCCACTTCTTTGCAATATGTGAATTATAAAATGATTGCAGTAACACACAGGTTCTGCTTGTTTTAGCACTGTTAATGGCATAGTTAAAAAGGGAAGCAAGCACCTTGAGAAAAAGAAGCGATGCACTGAATGTCATGAGACATCTAAATTGAGTTAGATTAGCAAATTTGTGTTGGAACCTTCTAAACACTAAACAATTCCCTAAAGGTCTATGAAAAGCTTTCCATTCCAGAGGCCAAATTCAGCCAGTTTTATCACTGAATAGTAGAGACAGGAGTAATCTCAAAGCGTGATGCTTGCAGACAGGTCTGATGAAAATCCAGGTTACTACGCTGAATCATATCATGTGAGGCTGAGACAATTTTGGCCAATGTTTTGGTGCTTAATAGTAAATATCTAATAATGACATTTAACCTCAAAATAGCCTGAGTGATAGCTGTGTGTTTGGGGGCAAGCAGTGAATGATGAGAACTTCTGAAAATGAAGTAGGTTGTACTGATGAAGTTGGGGGGGTTTCAGCTTCACTTAAAATTTCATGGATGAACTACAATTCATTCAGCTGTGTGTCAATCTCTTTGATTGCCCTAAATCTGCAATTTTACAGTATGTGTCAATAGAAGACATTCTGTTTCTCCCCTCATCATTTGTCCCCATGAAATTTCAGGTTGTCTTGGAGAAGTACCTGCAGCTATATCAAAGAACCACTTCTGGCACAGCCTGAAAACATTCAGTTCTTAATAGAGGTTTTCAGCTCGTATTTTGCAATCATAGGTTCATGAGTGTCTTATATGTTGTGTTTTTTAAACCTCCAGAGCAAGTCTTACAACCTCCCAGAGGATAAACGGGAACCAACCATAGGGACAGCAAGTTTGTCAACAGATGAGCCAGTAAGCACTCTTTTCACGAAGGATGAAAGGGGCACTGTGGTGTTACAGCACACATTGCAGGGGTTTATGGTGGCTTTGGGAGGTACTGCAGTGCACAAAGGCAGCTCCTCTTCTGTGATCAAGATCAGCACTAGTAAAGCTGGATTGTTTCATTCTGTTGAATACTGCATCATTCCAAAATTTT